AGACAGCAGCCGGTGACAGCTCCCCGTGTGTCCTGTCCCGCGGCCAGGCCTCCTTCGGGGCAAGAAAGACCTCAGTCTGTTCCCGGTGGAGGAAGCTGGGCAGCCAAGAGATTCGCCTCAGAGCAAAGCCAAGCTCGTGGCCATAGGAGACACGTCACCGCTGCTGTTCATTTATCCCTCACTGAAAGTTTATTGAACTGCTTGGCTATGGTCAGTGCAAGGGCTGCACGAGAAACCCATGGCTGGGAGTTTGGTGTCTGACACCAAGGGGCATCGCTGTCGTGTGTGGTGATGGAACCCTAACGTTGCTTCTTGCAAGGAAGGGTCATAGTGCTGTGGAGTACTGTGGCAATGGAGTCCAGCAGGGGATGGGGAGGATTGTCTGGGAATGTGATGGAGTGGAGAGAACGATGCTCACAAGTAAGAAGCTGGTATTTTTTTCTCACCCTTTTCTGCTTCGGTTCATGGCAGAGAGGTCAGCAAAGTATTTACAAAGCCTCTTAAAAGAAAATCAGTGATGTTGGAGTTGAGAAAATGAGATGGGGAGGTCTATAGGTACCAGACTTTAGGGTCTTCATCTGCAGACTTGGAAATGTAGGAGTAGACACCCTAAGTTAGGGACCCACACTCTGGCCTGTAGGAAGTGCAGTACGGACTTGAAAGCGAGCTAATAGATTTGTGCCTACCTCATCCCTAGGAGATTTCCTTTTGGGTAAGTGGGTTGGTTGGGATTGAATTTCCTGTGGAGAAAGCTGTGTACCTGGTCACTCCCCTCTGCACTCACCGTTGGTCACTAAATTTGCTAATATCACCTCCAAAGCATCTCAGTCACATGTAGCCCTCCTGTATTACCACTCTAACTTCCCGTTTGGGGGCATCGTGGGAAACTATTTCAGTCCCTCCTCTACTGTTGGGCAAAGTTTATTTTCTTTAAATGTGACATGTTAGGTGAATTCAACCATCTCTATGCTAATGATGTGAAGAAGACATTGGTTGGAAGCAGGTATTTTGTCCTGGGGCCTGGTCACAAACTGAAACATCAAGGTCCTTTCCTCTCCCCTCCCCCGCTTTTGGCTTACCATCAAAGATTGCTTTTAACTGATGCCTTGGTGACACTGGACCTCTCTCTGTCCTCGGTGCTCATGCCACTGGCAGCCCAGCACGGTGTCTTCACTTTCAGACAAATCTTGTTCTGTTTCTGTACAAAACTCAGCATGGCCCACAGCCTGTTTACATTTTGTAAACTTCAAAATGCAGTGTAGATCTCCAGGTCTTGCATCTGTCACTAGTTTACCAGAGTCCCCTGCTCAGCCACCCTGTCCCCCTCTCCCAGCTGAGTTGGACTCCCTTGCCAAGTCATTCTGCATCCTTCCCCACTACCCCTCAGTCCTGGTCATGCGCCTCTGCCTGCCTGAATCCTCCTTCCTGTGATGCAGATGCTGTGGTCCCTAGTGCTGTGGAGCAGGGACACCAATTTCCAGGAACAATGTTTCCACTCCGCCGGGTCCTTCTGCTGTTGACCTGAGTCCCTCTGTCTGCTGGGAACGATGACATTCCAGAGACTCCAGATTCACATTTCCTCAGAGTACCATCATTGCCCCTTAATGCTTAGTTCTTTCTTAATGCAAAGCCCACCTATACCATGTTCAGCAAAATGATAAATCATTGCTGTCTAGACAGAAATCGGGCCTGCGTCACAGCCAAGGTAACTTCCAGTGCACTGCTGGTGTGGAATGTCTCTGAGAAACGCCTTTTGTATCTCCACTGGAGGAAGGTACCGATGACCCCCATGACACTTTGGGAGGGAAAAAACTCCTAATTTTTTTTAATATGAAGTCCACAGGGCTACATTCTTCTTAATTGATTTTCCTTTCTTTTGCTTTTACACAGTTTGTACAATTTTTTCAGGATATGGTAATACTGGCAGTGCTGCATGAGTCATCAGGAAGAAGCCCTCCTTTCCTTACCATAGTGTTTACATTAACTACAAGAGATTTTGTAAAGAAAAGCATCTTTAGTGTTTGAGTCTACCATAGTTTGTATCTGTGTGTGTTATCCTGTGGCAAACTGATTTCCTTTACCCAAAACTCATGAATTAAGAGACATTGTCTGTGAGTACTTAATTCGGTTTTGGATTTGGCAAAAAGTTTGTCCCAGAAGGGACCATATTATTGCTGGTGTCATCAGCTAATATAAACCTTTATTGTGTGGGAAATATGGCATTAAGATCACATTTGGAAAATCACTCATACCAAATAGTCCAACACTAGATGCTGTTGGATTCTAAAGCACCCCAGAGATGTAGGAGATACCAGGTAGCAGCTCCTTTTCCCCTAAGACACGCAGGCCATGACACATGGGAAATCCCTGATTTCCCAGTGCAGAGGCCACTGGTGAACACCAAGGTGACCAGACAACACAATGTCTCTGTTCACTTCCAGGAATACACTGTCCCCAAAATCACACCTTTTGACACTGGTAACTATCTCTATCACTACCTTGTGTGTGATTTCTAATTTTAACTTCAATTATCATGGGTCAGTAATGTCCTCATGTGATTAAAACTATCTGAATGATCTGCAATACTGCTCCAGAAGCTTGTCAGTCATAGTCCTGAGAATGTTTTAGGCTATTACAATCATTTCATTATTAACATGTCAATTGCTAACGATCTCCTTTGTGGTCTCCACGTCTTTCAGGTGAGCACAAAGTACTAATGAGCTCGTAGTCAGCCCACTGTTGGCAACTGGGCTCAAGGCTGTGCCACACGAATGTGGAAATTATCACTACAGGTGACACAAAGTACCTGGCAGTGTTCCTGCCCTGGGTGACTGTTCCTGGCCTGGTGAACTGGGTCAGGGACCTGCTGCTCTTCAGATCTGCTGTGTCCCATTTCATGCCACCTTCCTTTCATGGTGCCACCCTTTGACCAGGGATGTGGCTCATCTGTACCCAAAACCCAACTGCCTTGAGTAAGTGAGGTTGGAAAAAGCAAGAATTCTATGCTAGTCTTGGGAATAATGGTGTGCAGAGATTAGAAACAGAATTGCGAATCAAGACCTCAGACCTCACAGTTGACATTGGGAAGTTTTATGTCACTTCTTTTGACACGAGACCAACACAGTTTTCTATGACCTGAGTGTATTATGTTTCCCATGGCAAGTTCAGTAACGGACCCACAGCTTTGTTCCTCTGAATCTGCCACTATTGTTTGGAGACAATGCCAGGCTGATCTGCTCAGGGAATCAATGAATGAGTGTCTGGATAAATAAACCATCGCTTTGCTCTAGGCTAAAAAGAAATAGAGCATTGTTTGACATTTTTTGTTGGATTATTCTGCTGTCCCCCAGACAGGATTTGAAGAGGTCAAGTTTGTAGGTTTTTGGTGAAGAGAAAAGAAGGCAGAACAGGAGCACACGTTTCCATCGGCCGTGTCACATTGCACCCAAGCTCAACTCATACACAACTTCCAGGAAGTGAAAGACTGGACTTGTCCTGTTCATTATTAGCTTTGAATGTTGTTTGGCTGGTTAGAAATGGAGACGATTTGTAATGTGTTACTAATTGAAAATGTGCTGGTTCCTGCCGCTATCGCATGATATTTCTTTTTGCGAGATTTTCAACTCTAAAAATCTAATTAATTAATATTAAGGATATTCTTCCAGGAGATTCTTAAGAACAATTTGAAAAGAGTAACTAGAAAATGTATAAATTCTGGTGCTCTCCAACCCCAGAATTAATGTGTGAGCCTGATTAAATCATGTGTGGGTGAATTTCATCATGAATATTTTTTTTTGCCTCAGAAATAAAACAAGAGGTGCCTGAAAATATTTGCTTTAAAGGGTGATTGCTAAAAACACTCCCCAGATATCCTCCAATCCAAAGCATGGTGGACTTGGGGTGGGGGCTTGGGAATCTGCATTTTAATTAAAATTCTATAACAGACCATGGTATGCATTGACGTTCAGGAATGCTGGTTTGATTCCAACTCAGAGCTAGATATCAAAGAACTGCTAGTACCTGGTGGTCCAGGTTGCAAAGTGGCCCAGATGGCAAAAGACTTAGCAGGCTTCATCGTCACCATGTTCAGTTTTCACTGAAGGGAACACTTGGCTCTTTCTAGCAGTCTCAGAAAGCACCTTTGCGCAGATGCCTACAGATAGCCTGGTGGACCAAGGCCCTCAGTGCCACCCCGTGGCTATGTCCTTTCCTGCTTCCTTTCCAGCCTGCTTTGCCTACCACACCCCTGGGAAGGGCCTTCTGCCTCTCCCTTCACCAGTGTTCCAAAGTTCAAGGCAGGAGCGCGTCCCAGGCCCCATCTCCAGGGTGCTGGTGTTCGCACAGACATCCCGAGAAAAACTTCCTCCTGTCTCAGAGCCAAATTTAGTACAAGTCTAGGGAGCTGTCTGATTCATCACCAGGTGGCTGAGCTCCTATCCTTACCAACACTGGGCTTAGCTCCTGGCTACAGCTGACATTAGGGGGTGGGAGAAATGCTTCCAGCTTTTTTAGCTCGTTTTTCTTGTTTTATTTTTAATTCTGCTTTTACCAAAATTCCTCCTCATTCACTACACAACAAAAAATGGGTTTTTTGTATGTGATGAACTTCTTGTGTCTATGCATGTGTGCATGCATGTTGTTACAAGTAGACTGCAATTCGTTCCTTAAAAAGAAAGTGAGGAACAGGCACTTTGGGTATCTTGCTATGGATAGTAAGAGTTTCAGTCTCAACGGCCCAGCAGGTGTCCCTGCCTTTTGTTGGGGTACACTGAGAACCCAAGGCAGAGTGTGCAGGCATCAGAACACCCAGCATTATCAGGGAATAATGTAGGTGCTACTATGAGAGGAGCATGAGTACACAGAACAGAATCTAGGAGGAAGGTGCCAAAGGTCCTTCATAAAAAATCAGGCTGCGATGTTAAATATTTACTGACGGTCCCCACCTCTTATACAGGAAAGGTAGGTTTGCCAATTTCTGACACATAGATATTTTCACCTCAGCTGATTTCAGCTACTGACATGACTTCGGTTGACCAGCAAACTCTAGGACTATTTCCAGAAGGTTCTTGGTAGCTAGTAGGAGCAGAGCGGTGTTTGGAGGAAGTCCAGAGGGGCAGAGGTAATTGCTCTCGTGCAGTGTTCCAGGCCAGGAGACAATTGGCTTTTTTCCAAGGCAAAGTGGGCCCAACTAGTGGGGTGTTCTGAAACCTATGAGGGGTGTGGTCTCACTGGGATGGCACTGTCTTGTAGCAGATTCCATTCCTGGGAAATTTCTGGGGCAATTTTTGTCCTCACAGTGAGCCAAGGGTCATAATGATTACTGGGTTACAGCCAAGGATACTAGATATCCTGCAAAGGTCAGATCTTCCATTGGGCTGGTCCTGAATTTTGCAGAAATTTCTGAAGCTGTGTTTCCTCCAAAATAAGACCTAAGCAGCTGGCCTTGAAAACTAGAGATCAAAAGTGCCGACCACAGTTCTCTTGCTCAATTACCACTCCAGTAGCAACCAGAGTCGTGGGAGGAATTCAGTTCCTGAGTGGATGATGTGTGTAAATGCTACGGCCACCTTGTTTCTGGGCAGTGTCCACTCCTGAATATTTTAGGCCTTCTAGACCGAGCATTTAAATTCAAAGCATATATTGATTTATTGTCATTTTTATAAGCATATTATACAAAATTATGAGTATTGTATATGTTGCTGGAGCCTGTTAGGAATTTTATTTCATGACAAAAGAAGTATCATATATTATAAGAAAACATATACTAGGACGATTTCTGATCCCTTTGACATCTGCCTGAATTGGCTCCCGCACAGGTTGCCCCAAAGACAACTCCAAGCCCCGAAGACGCTGGATGGTTCAGCAGATTTACCTGACAGTTGCGTTTCCTGCTGCGAGATTTAGTGTGAGAGGAGATCAGAGGAGTTTTGGTCTTTGCTCTTAAAGGCCCTCAGTGCAAGGCGCGATGGGAATGGGAGGGGTGGAAGAGGCGCGTGTTTCCCATCACTGCTGGGAACCCCGATCCCCGCCAGCACGGGACGCGTGGCCGTGTAGGGAAAGAACAAACGGGCAAGGCAGAGGACTCTGCAGACCCTACTTACAGTTACCACACACAGAAGGAAGTGGAGGGAGAACAGGCAGTGCAGCTGTGTGAGGTTGTCCAGCCTGTACACACGTATGTACACGTGCACACATGCATACAAGGGTAGACAGCGCCCACTCACAGGTCCAGTAATTTACACACACTCAAAGATGCGGTGTGTGCCATGAGTTGTGAGAGAAGACCCAAGAACCGGTATTTGCATCTCTAGCCCTTAGGAAGGTGTCTGCTGTCTGACGCATTCTCCTCACTGGGACCAACACCGACACCCACTGTGTAAGCAGGGAGAGGTTCATGTTTGCAGTGTGCGATCTGCTGACGCCTGGCTGAAGCAACACAGCGGCATGGGCCGGGGGAAAGAAAACCGCTTGCTTCCTGGAGACCAGACAGCAGAGAGAGAAAGTGGGGAAGGTGCACCTTCCAGGTCACACCCCAAGGACCGCTTCTGGGGACCAGGCCCTACCTCCTGGACATCACACGCAGCTACAGAGCCCTCGTGATCCAAACACATTCCACACACGTGGTGTAAATCTGGGGAACAATTCAGAATTAAACCGTAATACATGCCCAGAAAAGGTGTAATATTTTCATGTGTTTTTGTTTTTTGCAATACTGGGGGTTGAACCCAGGATGTGCATACAAAGTGACATCCCCACTCCCTCTCTTTGCTTTTAAACATTGTTTGCACTGAGACAGTGTCTTGTGTTAAACCAGTAAGCTGCCCAGGCTGGGAGCAAACTTGCAATTCTCTGGCCTCAGCCTTGGCGAATGCTGGCAGGTGTTTCCCACCATGCCTTGCTAGGTTTTGCATTTTTACCAAGTTCCTCAGTGATTCAGCCATGCTGGATGCTGGTGCCACACTTTGATTAACAAATATCAGTGCTTCCTACAGAGCAGTATGTTGACCCACTACCTGCAGGGCAAGACAAGTATTCCAGGAGGAGGAAGATCTGGCTAATTAAAAATTGTAACTTATAATTTGGCAATGCATAATATTTCACATACATATAAATTCTCCCGTTTGCTGTTAATACACATGTGGCAATTTCCATGTTTTAGTCTTTGCTATCACAAGTCATTGTAAAGATCTGTGAGCCTGTCTCCTATGTATAAGTGTAAGGCTCTCCCCTGATTGTATGTGCACCATACGAGAACTTACTGAGTTGCAGAACAAATGAATCTTGAAATTTAATGTCACATGGAGTTGCGGAATGGTAGTGCCATATCCTATTCTAGCAGTTTTGGGCTAGTTTTCCCAGTGCCCCACTACCACCAAATTTTAATATTGTCAGACTTCATGAACTTTGCCATCTTAAAGGTATGAAACAGTATTTTGATTTGGTCTTAATTTCCATTGTAATGGTTAAGAATGAGGAGGAGAATCCTTTCACCTGGTTTTGAGCTATTTGTGTGGAGGTTATTTGTGGCTATTACCAGTAGGAGTGTTGTCTTTTTCATGAAGAAACCTGTAATTGTGCTTTGCTCTGCATAGTAGTCCTTTACTATCCCAATGCAATAATACTAAGAGATGAGGTCATTAGGACACAGTTAGGTAGGGACTAGAATCCTCATGGGTGGGGACGATGGGTTGACAGGAGAGGTTCTGGAATTTTCCTTCACCCTCTGCACTGTAGGATTGGGGAGCAGAATGAAAGAGCCATCTCGAAGGAACTCATGGACGCTTTACAAGACACTTTATCTACTCACAACTCTGCAGTCTTGGTGTCACAGCCTCCAAGTGTATGATCGATATATTTTTACTACTTATAAATTATCTAGTCCAAAGTATTTTATTACAGCATCCTGAATGGACTTAGATGGATTCTATTTTGTATTCTGGAAACTATTTTTGGTTGCATGTGTTGTAGAGACCATCTCTAGTTTACTTTCTGCTTTACATATTTTCCATGGTGTCTTTTGATCAGAGAAATCTTAATTTTATTGGAGGGCAATTTTAAAGGAAATGTTTCAAAATATTTATCATTAGAAATTACATATGCTTTAAGCATTTCATAAGCATATTTATCTTGTTAAGGGATTCTCCTTTTATTTTTTGTTTGGTAAGACTTTATTATGAATAGATGTTTCATTAAATATATTTTTTATCTAGTGAGATGATTATGTGGTTTTTCTCTTTGATCTTTTAATGTGGTGAATCAAGTTCTCTTCATTGAAGTCTCTCTTCCTTGCATTTCTGGGACAGGCCCAACACTGCCATCTATTTTTTTTTTAAATATGGCTCAGTTGGGTTGGGTAATATATTATTATGTATTCTCTCTATTCCTGGATGAGATTGTCCTGAATTACTTTCACAGCCTGTCCTGTCTGCTTTGGGGTCAAAGTTATGTAAGCCTCATGATATGAACTGGGGAGCCACTCCTAGTTTTCTATTTTCTGGAAGAGTTTATATAAAAGTGGAATAATATGGAAAAGTCTTATAAAACCACTTGGGCCAGATGTTCCTCTTGTGGAAAGATTTAAAACTATTCCTGAAAGATTTTTAAAAAATTAGAATTCCTTAGGCTTTCTGTCTTTCCTTCAATCTGTTTTGAAAAATTCTATTTTCCGAAGAACTCGTCCATTGGGTCTCTTTTCAAGCATACTGACATGGATTTACCATAATATTTTTGTTGCTCACCTGGCCTCTTCTGTGTGGCTGTATTCCCTTTTCATGCATGGCAAGGAGTACTGGAAACTCTTATTTATGGCACCATTCACACTATAAGTGCACTATATTAGTTTTCTTGAAAAGTTGAGTTTTGGGTTTGCTGGTTCTCTGCACTGCTTTCATTTCTATTTTAATAGTTTCTACATTTTCTCCTGTCTTTTCTTTTTCTAGTTTGGATTAGCTCTACTTTATTGTGCTTCACTTGTAAAGGGATCTATTCAATCACCCCTTTTCTCTTGCAAAAATTTATGGACCCACTATTTTTTAAGAGTGTTACATTATTGAATTCCACAAATGTTAATGGTTTTTGGTATCATGTTTTCATTTCCATTTTATTTTCTTTTTATCAATATTTAGACGTCTATTAGTTTTTCCAAACTATGGTGATTTTTAATTTACTTGTTACCATTGTCATCTCATGGTTGCTTTTTAAAAGTGATATATATGTTTTAAAATTTTTTTCATAAATGCATGAAGGACAACTTATAAAATTCCATACATGCTCAAGAAGTGCATATTGGGCAGATAGATATAGCTTAGCGGCACAGTGTGTGCCTGGCAAATGCAAGGTCGTGAGCTCCATCTCTGGCATCAAAATGTAAAACAAAACAAAACAAAACAAAACAAAACAGTATGAAGTACATATTGTCTTCTAGGTATATTTGTTATTAGGCTTTTTATTTCTATTTTTCAAGTTTCCAAGTATTTGTTAATATATTTGTTCTCTTGACCTTTTAGTAACTGAGCTACCCCGAGGCTGTGAAGTTGTCAGTAACTTCTATCTGATTTCCATGCTTATTTCTTGTGAGTCTGGCTACTATCAGGTGTTGCCCAGGACTTTTTGTCACTTTGGTGCCTCCCTGGGTGGCAACTACTGCAGGAATGATGAACAAGTGGGTGATCTGGAAAGGCTGCGCAGGTTTATTAATGTGGCTTTGTGTGTCAGATGCAATCCAGGGTCGCAGGATAATCTGAAGGACTGCATTGGGGCAGATTATGGCCAGCCCTGCACAATAGGCAGAGATCGGGTAGCCTGGTGAGGGGCCTTCCGTCAAACTCTGTTTGCGTTGTCCTGGGGTAGAGTTTCCGATGAAAGCCAGGGAACTGCAGAGTCTGAGGTCACGCCTGTTAGCTAAGTGAAAGGCATTTCACACTTTCGCTTTTATCAGTTTATTCATGCTGATAGGTGCTTTTAGAGTGAATTCACAGCTCATGAAAGGCTCGGAATGAAAAGACCAGGGAACAAAGTCCTCTGTTTATCTGTAGAATGTGCTTTGGGATGGGTATCATGGGGACCACAAATTTCTCCTGGGTTTAAACACATAGAATGGGGGCACTGCCACTGAGGGAGCTTTGTGTGTAACTTGAGTTCCTTCAATTCAATCAGTATTTTGGCGAGATATCAGTCCGAGACACGTATCTAATACTTAGGCTCATTTTATAGGAGAACTAATGACTCTTTAAATCATTCAAGTATGTTTAAATTTCTCAAAGAAGAATCTTAACTCTGTTGCAGATCATTGTAATTCTAAACAAACTCCATGTGAAAGACTCAAATCCACACCATGGCTGCTGAAGCAATTGGAATCAGGCCCTACCTTGCCCATCCTCCTCTTAGCACGAAGAGGATGAGAGTCCCCAGAGACAGCAGCCAGGGATGCTGCATTCCGGGGCCTCCCCGGTCCTCACTCCCTGCGGCCCCCTCCCCCAGTCATTTCTCATCTCTCGTCCTCTTTCCTCATCCCTGGGTACCCAGCCTTGCTCTTTGTTCTCACTTTAAAGGAAGTTGTTTTGGGTAGTAGCATAAATGTCCTAGAAATGGCTTTTCTATGTACAAAACTTCTGTTGAATGGGAAACAAGTAATAATAATAAATAATAATAATAATAATAAAATGGAACTCAGCATTGTTTCTTAGGTGGTTGTCTACTCCACTGTCAGAAGCAATACCCACCGAAGTTTCATGAATTTTCTTTGTTTCTTGTTCCCTCTCTTTTTTCTGGTTAGTTTTCCCAGTGGGCTATGCAGAGAGGGAAAGATTCACTAATGTATTTGGGGAAAATGCCAGCATACTTGTCTATCTTAATCTTTTTTTTTTTTTTAAGAATATTCGATGTGTGCATGGATATTGAATTTTTTAGACTCCTAGCAATTTTATTGCTACTTTATAAATTGTGAGATTTACTTCATAATAAATGGTGGTAACTACTGACAGACTCCTGGTTTTAATATATTCTAAACCCTTAAGTTATTTGAAAAGCAAAATAGAGTTTGAATGTGGCCTGGTTTTATTTTTGGATGTGTAGCAATAAAATATCCCTAAATAATTCAAACATTAAAATCATGGTATCTATTGTGTATAAATATTTAATCATTTAAAAGTGACATCTTAAAATATTATAGAATTGTGAAAAGAAAACAAAATATTAAAGTAATTTAAATTAATTCCACAGTAAACTCATGTAATAATACTATCCTAATTTTTCAAATTTTTTCTGAGATATCAAACATTTTTCATGTTTTGTAAGCTCAATTTCTAGGTTTCAGAAGTATTTCATGTAATAATTAAAAAACAATTTACAGAAAGTAATCACAGAATGTGGATTATTTCACTTTACGTATTTCAGTCTTTAAATAATTCTATTTATTTTTTTTATGACCAGAACGTATCCAAGCTATCAACCTGGGGAAAGCTAAGTTGAGGCTGACACGTTTACCAGCTTTTACTTCTGCCTTTGCTCCAGTTTGTCTCCCTCTCCGCCTGTCCATGCCATGCCTCTGCTTACCTGCATCACAGTTGGTGCTGCCATTCGTGCCCTTTTGTTTCCGATGAGCTGACCCGCACAGCTGGGCCGCCCCGGTGACCTCCGAGGGCAGCGCCTGACTTTTCATCTCCCTGCTCCTCCTTCCCCAGTGCCTTCTCGTCCGCTCTTCGCGCACGCACAGAGTCTCCCCTGTGCGTCCACATTATCACTGGGCTTTGCCCACCCCCATCTTTGATCTCTCAATTTCCTCTCTTAATTGCTTTCAGAAGTTTCTCACTGCTGACCACTTTTTGA